GGGGCCCACCTGGAGGCGCTGTGGGCTCTCCCCGAGCACCCCGCATGGAGGCCGGGGCTGGGCGCGAGGGAAGCGCAGAGGAGAAACAAGTTCTTGTGACTTTGGAAGGATTTTTTGAAGTCTTGACTTCTCTGAATGCCCGTTCTAAGCTCTCATAGGCTGACGGTTGGTGTTTCGACATCATGCTACATGCTAAGTGGGAAACGCATCCTAAACCGTAGGGCGACAGAGGAAGGGAGGTGGGGGCTCAGAGGCCCGCTCAGAGGCCCCCCGCAGTGGAGCCCCGTCAGTGGGCCCGATGCCCCCCCCCCACCCCCCTGCCAGGCCTGGGTCCCCGTGGGGCTGACAGCGCCCCCCCCCCCCGTGGAACCCCCCAGGAGCTGAAGCTGAAGGATGAAGAGTGTGAGCGGCTGTCCAAGGTGCGGGAGCAGCTAGAACGGGAGCTAGAGGAGCTGACGGCCAGCCTGTTCGAGGTACCAGGGCCGGCCAGCTGGGGGACCGGCTGGGCAGTGGGGCCGCTGGGGCCGCGCTGGCTCCTCACCGCTCATGCAGAGCCTGCCTTCTCCCCAGGAAGCCCACAAGATGGTGCGGGAAGCCAACATGAAGCAGGCAGCGTCGGAAAAGCAGCTGAAGGAGGCGCGGGGCAAGGTGAGGCCTGGCCAGCTCCCAGACAGGTGCATCTAACAGAGCCTGGGCGTACAGTGTGACGCCAGGCAGGCCATGGGTCCGCTCTGAGCCTCAGTTTCCCCATCTGTAAAATGGGTGCCTCAGTCCCCACCTCAAAGGCTGTTCCCGGGGTAGCAGGGGGGTTAGGTACCGGTCACCGTCAGGACAGGCTGTCCTGAGCTGGGGTGGCCGGTGGTTGACGGCCACCTCATCCCGGCCAGATCGACATGCTGCAGGCAGAGGTGAGCGCCTTGAAGACACTGGTCCTCACATCCACACCAGCCTCCCCCAACCGTGAGCTCCACCCACAGCTGCTGAGCCCCACCAAGGCCGGACCCCGCAAGGGCCACTTGCGTCATAAGAGCACTGGCAGCACCCTCTGCCCCGCTGTGTGCCCCGCGGCTGGACATACCCTCACCCTGGACAAGGAGGGCAAAGAGGTGAGGGGTGGTGGGCGGGCAGTGGACACGGGAAAGGGAGACGGTGCCCAGCATCAGCCAGGCAGTGGGGCCCAGTGGGGAGGCCTGACGCCTCACACTGTGACCTGGAGCCTGGCCTGCCATCCCCGGGCTTCTGTGTCCTCTGTCTGGGAAGGCTGGGCAGCCTTTTTGTGATAATGAGGTTTGGCCCTCAGCCTCTGCGTGTACCCTGTGTACACCTCATGGGTCCCGTGAGGGCCTGGTCACCTCTCCACGCCCCTCCAAGCAGTAGGTGGTATTCTGGGCACCTGAGGCTGGCCTGGGGCCTGAGGGCCTGGCCTAGGTGGGGGGGGGATGGGGGAGTTCTTCGGGAAAACACCTTCCCTGGGCCTAGGAGGCTACTGCTGGGCCTCTGGGGACAGGCTGCTTGGGCCCTGCATGCCCGCAGCCCTGAGGTCCAGGACCAGCTCGTGACATCCCTGGATACGAGGGTCCTCAGCGCCTTCTGCCTTGGTACGTAGACAGGCAGAGCCTTTGGGGGCTGTCTCCCTCCCCCCTCACCTTGGGTACATAGGGTATTTGGTCCAGGCTGGGCAGTGGGCTGTGATGTCCTTGACCGTGGGTCCTTGGGCAAGTGAAGGCACCTGCCAGAGCCTCAGCTTCCTCACATAAGGGCCCCCCACTGCCCATGGTGACTGATAAGACCTGGGTGTCAGGAGCTCAGCTCAGGGCCGCACTCAGTGAGCCCCACAAGGGCTACATGGGACTCGGGGTCCTGTGGTCTCTGAGCCCCCAGCTCCATCCTGCCCTGTGTCTCTGGGGCTTCCAAGGAAGGGACGCAGGCCAGGCCTCGCCCCCTACTTCCGAGTTCTCAGCTTCTGACCGAACCACTAACATCTCCTTCCTCCTGTCTGTCTCTGTGCACCTGTCATCTGTCTGTCTGCCCCGCCGCCCCCCCCCAGCCTGGGCTGCCCCCCCTCCTCTCCCTGCTCCTCTGCGTGGTCCCCAGCAAAGCTGTTCACCTCACCTACGAGCCAGCCTGGCAGCTCCTGTCTGGGGAGCCGCTCACGGCCCCCACCTCCGCTACCTCTTTCTCCTTTTCCCGACAGGTAATGGCTGGGGAGAGGGGCCGCCCCTCTGCCCCCACCCAGCCTCACTCACACTGCATGCGCCCCAGGGCGGCCAGCCAGTCGTCTCTCCCGAGTAGGCGGCCCCGTGTGTGTTCCCTCTGTGTGCATGTGTCTGTGTGTGCGGGGGGCGGGTGGGGGGACCTGCAGGGCCCATCTTCAGCTTTTCCTCCTCCAGGAGGCAGAGAGGGGCTTCAGAACGAGGCCCTGGACCCAAGTCTGCAACCTTGTAGAGCTGGGAAGCTAAAAGCACACCTGGCTATGAAAGTTTGAGTTCTGAGGCCCTTGGTACAAAGGGAAGGAGGCGGTTCTTCCTTGGAGCTCTGTCCCCTGCTGGGCCACTGGGCACAGACCCGCTGGCAGGCTGGGGCCTGCCCCGCAACCTCCCTGGCTCCCCACCGTCTTCAGCTCCCCCCACCCCCGCCCCCTGTGCCTTAACCACTCTCTCCGGCTCACCCTCCCTTACAGGTGGACACAACCCTGTTCGCAGAATTCCAGGCCTGGCGGGAATCGCCCACCCTGGACAAGACCTGCCCCTTCCTCGAAAGGGTGTACCGGGAGGACGTGGGCCCCTGTCTGGACTTCACCATGCAGGAGGTGAGGCGGGGCAGAGGGCGGCCGGCCCCGGGGCACGGCCCCTCAGCCGGAGGCCAGCCCCTCACTGCCCCGGCCTGCCGCCCTGCTTTGTCGCAGCTCTCAGCGCTGGTCCGGGCCGCGGTGGAGGACAACACGCTCACCATCGAGCCCGTGGCTTCGCAGTCGCTGCCCACCATGACGGTGGCCACAGTTGAGTGTGGCAGCACCAAGTAAGCTTAGCGCCCTTCATCCTTTGCTGCCCGCTTGGGAAAGCCACACCTAGCCCCGCGCTCTGCCGAGGCAGTAGCCAGGGACCCGGGACCCACGCGGGAGGCGGGAGTGGGGCACACAGGCCTGGCTGGGGAGGGGTGCAGAGGCGCGGTGGCTGACATCAGGCAGGGCAAGGAGGCATCTTTGGCACAAATCCCGGCCTCTAGTCATAGATCCCCAGGCCCTACCGGGAGTCTGGGAGCCAGAGTCTCCCTCTTCCTGGCTGGTCTGCCGGCATCCCTCTCCCACCCCCATCCTCTCTCCCACAGTGGGTTCTGGGCCCCGACTGACATGTAAGTGATGTCAGCTGTTGGCTCTCCTTGTGCTAATAAATAACCAAACAGCCCTGGTATCTTGTCCCCCCTGCGACTCAGCTGCCATCAAGCAGGGCTCGCAGCAGAACCAGACAGCCGGGGTGGAACAAGGGGCAGAGGTGGGGAGCACTTTCCCTCGGCAGCCCAGGATTTGACCTGCCAGGGAAGCCCCAGGGGGGAGCCTTGGCACAGAGGGGCACATTTGAGCCAGGTTTTGAAGGATGAATAGCAGTTTGCCAAGTAGGGAAGGGCCTTTCAGGCAGAGGGAACAAAATGAGTGAAGGTATGAGAAACCGGGGTATTAATGGAAACATCACTGGGTTTGTGGGCAGAGCAGTGGGGTGGGTAGGGAGATAGGGCTGAGGCCACAGAGGATGTTTGGGGCCAGAGTGTAAAAGGTCTTGAATGAGGTGTGGGCTTTGACCCACTAGGCCAAATCATCAATAGATGTTTCCTAAAAAGAGAGTTGCCAAGTCTAGTCAGAGTCACAGTGAACCTGGAGGCAGCAAAGGCACTGATAAGTCCTGCAACCCAGGAGCCTACTTAACCTTTCTCTGCTCCGGAGTCTCCATAATGGTTTCCTGGGCAGTAGGAAAGCAGCAGGGAACGATGATGGGCTAGATGTGGGCTTTTGGAGGAGCCCCTGGCTATAATGTGGAGAAGGGGAGAGACGAGGCAAAGGACTGGTTGGAGGAGCTAAGGGGATTCAAGCAAGAGGCCCTGCTGGCATGACCTAGCCTGAGGACTCGGTGACCAAGTGGAGGAGAGAATGGACTCCTGTTTAGTTGGGGAAGGCGTGACTGAGCCTGAGAGTCCCCGTAAAGTAGGGGGTACGTTTTTAGGGGCTGCAGAGAGGGGAGCTTTGATAAGATACCTGGCATGAGGTGCACTGGGCTCTCCTGCCCACTAGGGGCAAGGTGAGGGGTTTAGGGGTGAGATCCAGCTTAGGTCAAAGGTCTGTCCCAGGGACTGGGATCTCTCCTTGGCCTGGCCCCCGGCTCCTGGGGAAGGTGGGGTCGAGGGAGAGGATGCCAGGCCCCAGCCCCAGGTCCGCTTGCCTCTCCCTCCCTTGGTGCATCCTTCTGCCTGCTGCATCCTCCCTGCATGAGCTGGGTGGGCGAGCCCCCGCCAGCCCCCACGACCCCTTCTGCTTTCCTCTAGTACCTGTGCCCTGAGCGGGCTGGCTCGTGCCTGTCGCCACCGAATCCGGCTTGGGGACTCTGAGAGCCACTACTACATCTCGCCGTCCTCCCGGGCCAGGGTGAGTCATCCAGTGGGAGGGTCACTGGGCTTCTTAGGGGCCCCCTGGGCTGGGACCCTAGGCCAGCCTAGGAGCTCAACCTTGATCTGCAGAGCAGGGCACAGACTCAGGGAGGTACGGAGACCGACTCAGGCGACACAGCCAAGCCTGGTGAATTAGTTTGTCATTACTGCAGAACCAATTACCATAAACTTAGTGGCTTAAAACAACCCCCATTTATTATCATGCTCTCCCTGGGGCAGGAGTGAGCACAGCTTAGCTGGATCTTCTGCTCAGGGGCTCAGGAGCTGCAGTCAAGGGGTAGGCTGGCTGCCTGCTTTCTGGAGATAGTGGTCCTCTTCCGAGCTCCCATGGCTGTTGGCAGGACTCAGTCCCTCGGGGCGGCGGGGGATGGCGGGGGCGTGAAGGACTGAGGTACCTGTTTGCTTGCCGAAACCTAATCATGGGAGTGACATTAGAATTCATGTTAAAATTCTAGGCTCCTGCCTCCCAGCTCAGGCTCTGGCCCCAGACTTTTGAGAAGGTTCTGAGGCCTGACAGTAGTGGTGGATTCAATGAGGCCTCCGGGAATCCCAGCTTCCCTCGTCACCTGCCGAGTGGCCCAGGCTGGGTCAGTGGTCCCCAAGCTGGGGGATAAGGGCGGGGTGGTCCCCGTTCCTCTGTCCCCTCACAGACTGTGAATAGGATTATAAGGAACCAAAGAGAATGCGTTAGAAGATTCTGAAGCTTGGTGCACAGGTAGCACAGAGTGGATGGGCCCTTTTGTAGGAACCATCTCCTGCCCTTGACCTACTAGAGGCTGCTCATAGGGATTAAGGTGGACAGATGGCCCCGCTGCTAGGCAGCTTGTCTGGTCCCGACAAGCTTCCGCAGGGTGTCCAGTGTATTGTCCCGAAACACCCCACAGCAGCGAGCTGAGCTCCATTTGCAGATGGGGAGTCTGTGCCTTAGAAAGGGGGGGTGTGACCTGGCCCTGGGGCCTCCCCATTCTGAGCCCAGTCCGCCTTCCCTGCAGCCTCCGCCCCGCGCCTCTGTGCCCAGAGCCCTCTCCAGGGGCCTTTTTCTGATCCCCACCAGGGCTCAACAGAAGGAGCCTCACCAGACATTCTGTGCCCGGCAGAACTGTATCTATAGATATAAAAACTAAAAAAACACTGTAGAACTCTGTTTCTTCCAAAGGCCTGCATGTCTCTGCGTCGGGCAGAGCTGGGATGGGAGACAAGAACCGTGTGAAGTTTTAGGAGGTGGTCCCCACCCTGAAGAGACCAAGGAATGTGGCATCCATAGGGAGAAGAGGTTTCTGTCCCCAAAGCACGGCCCTGGGGAGAGAACCCCACTGCTCCCTGCCTCTCCTTGCTCGCCAGCCTCCCGTGGGGGCCCACTGGCCACCTCACCACAGCCCCTCCTGAGCCACACCGGCTTAGTCCCCTCTGGGGCACCCCTCTCTCACGCTTGCCTGGGCCACCAACCCCCTGCACCCACTTTGTCCTCCTGGCTGGAAAGGATTCCTCTGTGTTTGAGGGCCCCCCCGGAACTCTGGACCCCGTGGGCCCCCACACACTTGGCGTCCCTCCCCCCGGGGCACTGGACATTGAGTGGGTGCTTTTGGGGCACAGCTGCCGGCCACCTTGTGCCCTGTCTCTGGCTGGGCTCCCTAAAAGCTGAGCCTAAGATGAGGATTTTATGCCATTCTTAGGAGGACTGAGGAAAGCAGAATGGCGGGGTGTGGCTTCAGCTGGAGTCTGGCTGCAACCTGATCCACGGGGGCTCTGGAGCCCAGGGTGGGTTCCACCCGGAGGCAAGGGGGGCTGGCCTTTTATACACCGCATGCCGGCCAGCCCCCAGCCATACCCCCCTGGCTGTGGTATGCAGGGCTAGGGGGGACAGAGGGGCACCCATGAGCCCTTGGTGGCCAACACTCTCAGCCATGGGGAGAGGGGCCCCAGCCTGGGGAAGGGGCCTGGGCAGGGTACCAGCAGCACCCTCTCTGCAGAGGAGAGTAGAAGGGCCCACGTCTGAGCCAACTTGGGGTCCGCGGTGCCCAGCATAGGGCATACGGAGCAGGCCTCAGGCCAGGCTGGGGGCTTCAGGCCTGGGGATCCAGGGCAGCCCCAGTGAGCAGCTTCTGATCCCCCTGCCTATCCTGGCATTACCAGGAGCACTGGGCCAAGGCCTGGTTGGCCAGGGCCTCCAGCACGCAGAGCAGGCAGGCCCCTCAGGATGAGCGTGGATTCAAGGGCAGGCCGCCTGGTTTCACCTTCCAGTTCAGCCACTTACTGTCTCTGTGGGCTCTGTAATTGTTGTCTGGTGGCTTTGTTCTTGGAGTCTCTGTTTTCCCCATGTGTAAAATGGGAATAATAAGCATGTCTGCTTCACTGGATGCATGTGCTGGATTAAATGTTAGCTGCTGCTGTTGTTTTTATTGGGAGTAGTACTAACACCACCGTTGGTAATTAAATTTTATTTTATTTATATATATATTTTAAAGATTTT